GCGCGTGATAATTCATTGAAGGAGAAGGTTCGTTTACTTATGATATTATTTTTAATTTATTACTATCATATAAAAGATTTAGTTGTTATTTTACATTTCTTTTAAACATTAAAAGATTACAAAGAATTCCTTTTTTTTATTTTCTTTTTTTATTTTTCTATAACTTCATTATATCACTATAAGAGAAGAATAAATTTATTAATTTGTTTTTTTTTTCTCTTTTTTCATATATATATATATATACATATATATATATATATATATTAGGTATCACAAAATCCTAAGAAAACTTCTAACAAGAAACATACTGAATACGTCGATCAAGTATGGATGAAAAAGATTGAAAGTGGAAGCCGTAAGTATCGACCAATATTGTGTGAGAGTTTTAAAAATAATACCTGCGAAGTTCTTTTAAAACCACCAGTTACGTATCAACCACCCAAAGAAAAAGATTTAGAAACAGTAATTCTTGAATTCGAAAATAATTTTTTGAAACCTACAAAAGTTGACACATCAAATAGTTCGACGAAAGACAAGAGCTTCGTGAAAAGAATTGTCGCAGCATTCGAGGAGAAATGTAAGACTTCGAACGAATCGAAAATCGAGGACGATGTTAAAACTATTCTTGAAAATCGAGAAAAATCTTTAGAAAAGAAAAAACTAAATCAAAGCGGTGATTCTTATTCATCCGATTTGCCTAAAGAAAACATAAATACATTTAAAAATATACCAAAAATTTCTCAACTGAATAGCAATAAAGAAGAAGATGAAAGTTATGTGTTATTCGATTCACCAGATAAAAAGCAATATGATCAAAAGAATAAATCGAAAACAATTTGGACAAGTCCATTTAAATCCAGTTTTCCAAAAGAAAGTAAACTTATGAAAATGTTGACCTATAGATATAATCCTGATGAAGAATTGGTTTCGGTTATTAACGATGATGAACTGGATGAAATACTTGAAGAAGATTTAAATGCAACTTCAACTCCTTTTAAAACTATTAAAAATGAATTGAATCCCGACGACAATGAGGAACGTAATGTAGAAATACCAGAGGAGAATGTACCAGTTCCCAATAGAGAAAATTCATTGATCGAAGAAGTAAAGATTGTAGCTTCTACGTCGAAGTATAATAGAACGATTAATAATTTAAAAAGGGAATTGGTCGAAGAGGAAAAAGATAATGCCGTTGGCTCAACACCGCCTGTAGAAAAGGAACGATCGCGAAAGAAAATTTTGAAAAAATTATTTTCAAAGCTTACTTATAAAAAATCAAAAAATGTTTTTGTGTATGAAAATGTGAAAAAATATCAACGAGAATTTCAAGATTCTGGTTATAGCGAAATATCCTCTTCTTCCATGAACGCATCGACGTCAACTTCTAATAATACTTCTTTCAGAAAGAAGTTATATCCCTCGAAATGGCGAAAGTTAGCCGCACAGAAATCCTTGATTGATATTAAAGACGAAAGAATTAAAAATGAGGAGGAACAATCGATCAAAGAGAAATCTGATCTGAACGAAGCTTCGGAAGAAATCATTAGGTTGGATATAACAGTGATTCCACTGGGTAAAGTCACTGAGAAACCGATGAGCTCAACTTATTGTTCTTTTTCTGCCTCGACAACACCAGAATATCTTCATGTTGCTGGTACTTCAAATAATGCATCAGTTACTATGACAGATAATGCAGATAACACATCGACCAATGAAGTTTATTTGAACAATTCTTCATCAGCTTCTATTGACGAGAACTGCTCAGATTTAGAAATTGAGGAACTAGAAGAATTCAAGAAATTGGAATATTCGCAAAATATTTCTACAAAATTCTTTTCTCAATCGGAATCAAAAATAAACGAGCTCCGTATTTATAATGATGCACATGAAGAGGAATTTTTATTTAATTATCGTAGATCACTTACGAGATCAGCAACGACTAGCTTCTACGAGGACGTGTTATCTTTGAGAAGGAGGATAGAAAGTTTACCCAACTTTTATTCCTGTCCAGAACATTACAACCCGCTTTATGCGACTATAAAACGTGGACACAAATGCAAATTTTGCGATAATGATAGACAAAGACTTTCTAAGGAATTAGACTTATATACTTCCTTGTAATCGTTAATGACATTATCTTCAATATTCATCTTGAATTTTAGTCATTAAGAATTCGATTTCATTTTGTGTTAGATAAAATATTTTCTTTTTTATTTCTTATTTCTTCTTTCTTTCTTTTTTTTTCTTTTTAATTGTAAAATATTATTTTTCTTATGATTAGATCTAAATAAATTCTCAAAGTTGTGTACTTGTAGGTGCTCTACATCCAATACATTTTGAACAGCTATCATTTATACAGGATGAATAATTTTCATTCCAAAAAAAAAAACTATATTCTTTTCGAATCCTCGAAAATAATCAATAGATTTGTAAAAACGCATTTTCAATTCTGCCATTATAAAATAAATTCATCAATCATGCAACGCGCAGATTGTTTTAATTAAGTTCAAAATTGATCTGGACTGTCCTATACCCCACAGGTACAACTAGAATTGACATCTTGTTAAACAGTATTACAGTATTAAAAACGAAAGACTTAAGTACGGAAACGTGTAAAGAATTTCGTTAGCGTTTATATTTATCATATTTTATTACTTATGTACTAGTAGGCATATGATTTTTTTTGTTTTTAATTTAATATTTTATGGGTTTGTGTTATTAAACAAAGAAAAAAAAACAAAAAAAGAAAAAAAATCTATCTTTAAGGATTAAAATTGACAACTTTTAAATTATATATTACAATTCAAATTAGCAATAAATAATATAGTTAAGATATATTATAATAATCTCTTCAAGATGAACATTGAAAAAAAAAGAAAAAAAAAGAGAAAAAAGACAAAAAAGTAAAAAAAAAAACATTATAATATAGATTTAAGGTCTCTAAATTGTATGTTTTATCTTATAAAGTAGTTTTCGAAAATTTTTTACTATCAGCTAAATAGCGAAGATAAGATAGATATATTTAGAATAATTAATGAGATATTAAGTATAATGAAAAACGTATATCATTAATCTAAAATTATTAATATTATTAATATTAGTATTATTATTAGTATTAGACACTTTAATTATTTTTAAAATTATTAAAAAAAATTAATATTTCAAAAATATTAATTAATTAATTTAGTAATATATTTTAAGTTTGATTTTACTTAATTAGATATAAGCTATATATCTTATTATTCCTATGTAACCTATTATTCCTATTATTCTTATTATACGTATAATATAAATAAAATACATAGTATTAATAATTGCAGTATTATTGAACCGTTTATAAATGATCCAATCTTACATACATATATATGTGTTATAACTATTCATTATTTTACAATTATAAAAAAAATATTTTAATAAAAAAAAGATATATATATATATATGTTGAAATAATTCGTGTCGAAATACATAAGAATTCACTCGGAATAAAATTATTGCCGAGTGAATTCTTTGTAGTACAATGATCTTCAATGCATACCACGGTTACGTTGAAAAGTTATTAAAAAGCGTTGTCCCGTAACGCGGGGTCGTTTTAACCCCTCGTGACGCAGACGATCGTCGTCGTTGACGTCGACGGCGACGTCGTTGACGCGCCGTTGTGCTCTTCGCCAACACCATCATTGTTTCACGGAAGTAAACTGTGCCATAAGAAATTGCGATGCTCGTCTTGAAAATAAATGTCTCTTGCCATTTCCCAAAGAACAGAGCATTCGTGAAAATGTAAAATATATAGAAAGATTTCTTTTTTGTAAAAAAAAGGAAAAATGAAAAAAAAAATACATGCGTCCAACTGAATGATGATAGAACGTAGAATATTCTATGATTAAAATTTAACTCAAAGATAGAGAGATAAGTCCGATGATCGTCGGACTAAATATTGACGTAACTACTTGTCACGATTTCAAAGAACACAACCATTCGTTCGTACGTATCTTCAGCCCATTCGTTATGATGATAGATCAGCGATAGATCATATTTGACACACATATAAATATTTTCTAAAGATACTCGTAAATGTTAAACACATACATAGACAGGTTTGATCATAAGCTGCGATTTCGTGTAATTAACGATGGTAAGTAAACCAATGGGCCGTACTATCTCGTTAAGAAATAATATTCTTATTCTATAGTATGTTAATTTAATTTTTATTTTACGAAAGTAACGTAGAATTGTTTACCATTAAAAAAAAAAAAAAAAATAAAAAAGAATACGAAGAATTTAAAGGAGGAAAAAGCAATTTTCCAAAGCGATGGCGTGGAAAATAAATCCAACACTTTAAAGTTAAGACAATCGCCGAGTGTCGACGAACCTCTTTCGTTCTTTCTTTTTATATTATTCTTCTTTTTTTCTTTTTATTTTAATTTACCGAAAATAAAAATTTCGTTAATAATCAATTGTCAATTATCTTTTCATATTATTTTAACTCTATCTTGATATATTCTATAGATAAAATCATGAATACAAATGTGAATTGTATTATTCGTATCTGATATAGATGAATGTTACGCATTCGTTTTTCTAATTACAATTTTAATTGGTTTTCTTTATATATATTAATAATGAACGTATCGAACAATAAAACGTGTTGGTATTTGATAATATCACTGATCAGAGTGAAACCAATGTTTTTCTTTTATGAATTTATTTATTATTACTTTTTTTTTTCTTTTCAAATTATTATCACACATTACATTCATTTTCAATTTGAAAAGCACGTTTTGAAAGAGGTTCATTCCTTCTTCATTGCTCTTCATACATAAAGCAATACAATTTCTGAATAAAACATATATGTATCTAGTTGTACCGAGTAAAATCAATATCGCAACTACTCTTTCGTTATAATCTCCATTTGTCGATACTTTCTTGCTAAATATAATGTTACACTAATGTGATTCGACTTGTTTGTTTGTCATAAAAAAAAAAAAAAAAAAAAAAAAAAAAAAAAAAAAAAAAAAAAAAAAAAAATAGAATTAACTTGAAAATCAATAATTCATCGTAATTGCAAGAGAATAACCAAGTACGTTGTCAAGGTCGCTGCTATCTGTAAATATAATATTCTATTAAAAATAATTTTTCAATACGTAATAATACGCAATTATTTTTTAACAATCAATTAACGTTTGTTTACCGAACATATTAATCGTAGCTCGATGCAAAAACATCCGGCAGCTGTGAAGTATAATTTTCGATTGATGAAGTGTAGAGACGTTTCTATGGGTATCTGTTAAGTAAAATTATATAAATAATTCAAATTTTTAAACAATATTAAACGCGTATTACAGCATAGATGGTTTTTTTTTTATTTAAAGAAAAATAAAAATGATAATAAAAATAATAAAAATATAAAAAAGGAAGAAAGTTTTTTTTAGGACGAAAAAAAAAAATTCAACCTACAATACGATTGTTTGCCTTGCTTAAGAATTTCATTAACAGCAATATGCTTCATTCTGGAGAATTTGCAATTGAAATTCTCTTTATTTAAATTGCACTTGGTTTGAGAAAGCACACACACACACACACACACACACACACACACGTACAAATAAGGTCCAAGTTTCAATAACTTAATTTTCATCGAGTAGTGAATAGTTTCGTTGTAAAGTGATTTAATAATTATATAGATATTTACCTTTAAAGAATTTTGTTCCATTAAATAGGCCTGCCAATCGATCAAAATTTCTCCCATACAATTCGCCTATAAAAATTGTCGTAATTTAATTTTTCGAACGTCATGAAAGTTAAATCGTAAAACTTTTAATTTACCTCAGACGAAACGTAACCACAAGAAATATGTAATATAAGAAGTTGTGTAACAAATACTAAGAACCAACTTGCTAAGCACGAAACCGATGGCCAATGTAAATTTTCATTATCATTTAATACTTTATCGATAATAAAGTATAAGTCACTTACACTATGGACACTCAAATTTGCTAGCCATAAAAGAATGAGCCACATATATAAAGCACTTAAATTTTCTCCTGCAGTCATAAGTTCATTGTGCCAAGTTTGAATAGTCTGAATAAAGGAATAAATATATAAGAGGAATATCTCGAAGACATTTATTTTAATATTAATTTAAAATTTTTTATATATACTTTGATATCGATTTTCATAGGTCGAGAATTATTTCGTTTTGAAAATATATATTTTTTTGTTAACTGATTAAGATGATGAAATCTTTGGCCCAATATTAAAGTAATTCCAATAAATTTGTAGACAGCTAAACAACTGCCGAAATAAGGGGCCATGTAAGTTATATTGGAAATCCAAGATTCTGTAAAAGCGTACATTCCAGTTTGATTGACTAAAGTCCAAAGTGCGATATTCAAAAATATTAAAATCCAGCAGACTATTCTCGTTTTTATTTCCTTTTGAGGATATCCTAATAATCTAATGGCATCATCGTAATCTTGTATGTTATTCCAAATTTGAACGAATTTATTTCTTGTCCATATCGTCATTAGAAGGCTGCATACCGTTGTCATGTAATTAAATACCAGCTATAATAAAACAATGGTTCTGCGAAATGCTTATACATAATTTTCTACCATCAATATGAAATACAATAATTCCAACGTGAATCCAGGCTACGATTAATCTTGTCGTACAATATGAAAGACAATCGATGGGAGAGTATACTCTAATATGATTTATGTATGTATATATTCATTCTTATTTTCATTGATTACCTTAACATAATCCGTACCTCCAAGGATTGGTATATGTCTTGTAAATGTTAAAAACTGAAGAAATATTGTATACACGTTGTAAGAATAAATGGCTAAAAAAATGAAGGAAAATATCAAATAAACATTGGAAGGGACCAAACGATCCTTCCAAAATTTGTACGGCGCATCTCCAAAAATTCTTGCTATATAAACTGCGGGACAAATGGCAGAGTAAAGAGGCGAATCTGGACCACGAAATTTCTTCAATTGTCTTCTCTTAGATATTGCAAATGCAGTTTCCAAATCAAAAGTCTTAGGTCTAAATTCCATTTTAATATTGCGATCTATAAAATTATATAAAGAGAAATGATTTTTCAAAAGAAATTATTATATTAATAAAATTTTTTCTAAAACGACGAAGAGAATAAAATGCGTACCGTTAATATTTACCCTCGAATATAAAACCATTTATCTTGATGGTTGCAATAAAACGTTTACAGAATGGTCCTTAGGCAACATTGCAAGAAGAAATGCACAAAGTTATTATTTAAAATGCTCACGTTATATGGGTTAATCAAAAGAAATGCAAGAAATTATATACATACATATGTCGAATAATTTGTCGTTCGAATAATTTATCTAGTCATTTAATAATCTTATCACTTTGTTCTCTTTATTTTCGATCTCATACCAGACAAATAAATATATGATCTCTAAGAAATTAAAATACAAATTACTACGAGAACTCGAAGTTTTATATTTTTTTAATAAAAATTATATTATATTTGTAATTGCGTAGAGCTAATTTTTATATCGAGAAATAATGCAACATTAAGTATTATTCTACGTCAAGAGCTTGAATTATCGAACGAATACATAAGAATAATACGCGCAAGTAAAGAATAAATTTTATATATTTTAAAATATATATATGTACAAGTTTTTTACAAACTTTCATTCTCGTGCAAAATTGTGAATATTTGATTTTACTTACATTTATGTGAAATTAAATCACAAGACGTCTTCTTTTTTCCATGTAAATTCTCTCTCTCTCTCTCTTTTTCTCTCTCTCTTAAATAAAAATTTATTACTATAGTTTTATTAAAAAATTTCTGTATAATTATTTTTATTTCTTAAAAATATAACGCGCGCAAATTTAATCAGAAACGACTGCATCCAAAGAAAGTATAGTTACAATTACGTCCTACGTACGTTGCAAATATGCAAACAGCATAAACAAGTATGTATTTGCGCACCTGCGCAGCCGATGTTTACTTGAATGATACAAGCATAAATCCCTCGCATATGTATGTGTTGCTCTAGACAGTATATATGTTAACGGATGACAGGATAACTAAGGAGAGGTAAAAAAAAAATTGAATATTCTGGTACCACCATCAGGTGATATTATGTTTTATGCTCCGACCTCCACGATATGACGTGGTATTACTTTTCACCTGATACAAAATTCTATTACGAAGGTAAAAATCCATTTTTCTTGAAAGATTTTTTTAAATATTAAATAAAAATGTAAGAGAACAAAATAAGTAAAAAAAAATAAAAAAATAAAAAAGAAATAAAAAAAAATGAATAGTTCATACATAATTTTAATGCTTCATATAAATGATAAATTATTTTTTTTATTTTCCATAATAAAACAATTATTTTTTTTCTTTTTTTTTTTTTTAATTTATAAATAATTAATTTTATTATTTTCTATAATAATGTACCGCCCTCCCCCCATATTGACCTAGTTTTCAAATGACAACTGTATCGAGTTCTTATTCCTGACACAGAGTTGTTGACAAACGTAATGTAAATATAGTTTATTACTAAGCATATAATTTTGACCGATGCTACGCGATATGTCATTCGATCGTTATCGGTCGAGGTATTCGTACGTATCAACATCTACATAAGCTCTTGCCAAATATTCGTATAACCATTCTCTAGCACTTATTCTTTTCTAAAATCTTTTATATTTTATTCAAAAGAGTATCTCCATATAAAGTAATGTATATTTGTTCCATGTAGTGAAACCTGGACAATAGATATTACTTCCGTTGTCAAATTTATTATATATTATTGTAAATAACGCAAGTTACTATTAATAGCTGTACTATTACTTTTTATTATAGTTAACTATTAAATATATTTTATTATATCAAATTTATTAATAATATTAAAGAAAGTCTTATAATAAGTGATAATAAATGAATAAATATATCTATTAGAAAATATTCATTGAAATGTCTATACATAATATATATTTTTTATATACTTCTTCTTCTTTTTTTTTATAGATATATATATATATATAACATCTAAATAACAATATTTAATATTAATATAAAAATAATAATACATATTTATTTTTCAGAATTTATCTAGTAGCTTGTATTATTTCATATGGTTATCATATATTAATGAATTTAGGTTTTCAAAAATAATATATCATATTATTATAAAACAAAATATGAAATATTTTTATATCATATACATACAAATATTCGTGATAAATGTATTATAATGAACACATTGCTTTATTAATCAGGATTCATATAGCAAGCCTATAGGACGATTTTTGACCTGTTGAATAATATCTAATGTACTTTTTAACAATTCTTGATGTATTACATTTAAGTCTTGTCGTCCATTTATAACTTTCCAAGTACCATCATTAAGTTTATCATAGTTAGAAGATACTTTTTGTTGAAATGTAACATTGTCATATCTTTCTCCATCCCACATATGTGAATTTTGCATTAATTCTGAAACTTTTAGAAAAAATACCAAGTCTGGAGAAGGAAGGCCACGATCTACTTCTTGACACCAAGTCAAGCTTTTACCAGTAGCAGCTGACGTATATGCTGCACCAGAAGCCGCATATCTGTAAAAAAGATATGTATATATATATTCTTTAATGTTTTACTACAAATGCAAGTTTTTTTTAGAATTAATTGTATAATAAGAATTAAAATCTTTTATCTATATTTATACCTATCAATAATCAATGTGGTACCAGTTTGAAGAGCTTTTATAATATCTTCTTTACATTCCCATCTATTAGCTGAAAATAACAGATGTGCTGCTTCTGATGATAATTCAATTTCTTTTGATAAAAATTTGTTTAATAACTCGCCAATCTTAGTTGTTCTATCTTTAAAAAAAAAAATAAAATAATATACATTTTAAATAATATAGTTGTAAATAAAAAGTACAATCTTTATTAATATAAAATTCAATTTTTTGTCAGTCTTTTGGATATACAAATAATAATATTTGTATACCAATTATAAGTTCTAAGAAATTTAAAATTTCGCGCGCTAGACGAGAAATATTATTTATAAGGTTTAGCTACTAGAGTGCGCTGCCGGTAATGAGTTTGTTTTTTTGTATATAACTCAATCTTTGAAAGTAAAACATGCATTTCTATAATTGAAGATTATTTCAAAAATATAATAATATTTTTGTTGATGTATCTCCTTTAATTCATTTCTTAGACATAAGCAGGAAAGTAAATAATATCAGTTTCTCCAATGTCACTAATTAATAATTAAGTATTCTCGATAAAATATCTTAAAATTTCTTATATACTAACAAAGATAAATAATTTTATATAATAAAATTTATGAATGTACAAACGAATGGATAATATTATTCTAAGAATTAAAAGTATATTAATGGATTCCAGCGTAAAATAATATACCTACTCGGAAAGGATTTAGCTTCGGCAATAATGCCAAGATTATTTAACGCCTCAACCAATAATTTCACTTGTGTCGACTTTCCTACTTTGTCACATCCTTCGAAAACTAAAAGAGCTCCTCGTCCATGCATTTTACTGTATAATGAAATTTCTTATAAAAATTCAACGTAAAAAAATAATTAAGACCCTGAATACAACTGTGCAATATACTACAGCGCCCCCAATTTTATAATACAAGTTTGCCAATTGAAATTAAAATCTAAAATGATGGTTATACATATAATTTTTTCAAATAATATTCCTTTCATTATAGTTTATTATTATAGCAATAGCAATATGACATCCGTTGTTATATTATCAATATACATTATACATTTAGTATTATCCATATTTCCCATAAAGATACAACTTTGAATTCTAAATTATATATATATATTTAGCATATTAAACCAAGCCATTCATATCAATTTTCAACCATCCTATACATATATAACATACCAGTTCAATTTAATATTTTCATGTAACTATAACATTAATTTTAAAATCTTTGCATTTCTCTCCATGATAATGTATCACTGTTAGAGATTTTGGGTAGACATTGCACTAAAATAAATTTATTTGTATGATGTATTTTTATATATCAAGAACATAATATTAATAATCTTAAGCTGTTGGTGCTAAATTTAAAATGTAATTAACAATCATTTTAATGCAATTCAACCTTGACACTCTATTTTGTTCTATCATTGAATGTGTAGTTCAAAAATTAGACATGCAGTGTACTTTTATAAATGGTATGCAGGATTTGCACAAATAAAAATGATTACAGTTTTATAAAGTACAAAGAGAATTGTATGTTAAATCTGCTGTTAAATATTAATAGTTAAATTGACTTCCAATCTTTCTCCAAACAACTTATTATATCTTAAATATTTACAAATCTTAAATACCACATATATACAAGTACACAGCATTTCACATATTCTATTGCAACCATTCTCTTGTAGCCTGTAAATGTAGCAAGTACCTCAATTTATTACTATGTCACAAAAATAAAAATGTATACAGGAATTTATATAACAACTAAAAGACAAAAATTGTTAGCACAGCAACAGGTGGCAGATATAATACAGAGATATCATTAATATCTTATTAAACAAGAATGAGATCCGTAAAAGAATGAAGCTAAAACATTTTGTCATAATCACATTGCTATACACTACAAGAAAAAAAGTTTCAAACAGTGATCCAAAAGTACTATACATTTTCATTAAATATGAACATCCAGCATTAATTAATAAAATAATCTTAAAGTAATTTTGTATTCATAGTAAGTTATGCATACACTTTATCAATTCAAAATTTACACTATATTTGTACATATTGATCTTTTTCTTTCACGTCAGCATATAATATTGATCAAGTTTATTTAGAAATGAAGGCAAATGTAATGTAGAGTTCATATTCGTTTGTTATTAGTAATTATGATATTAAAACTCTGAGAAAATTATATAATCTAAGAACAGCAATGTTGCAAATAAAAACAATATGCATAATTCGTTTAATTATAAAATTAATGAATATGCACAAAAAAAGCATAAAATATTAATTTTTTACTTTCCTCATTTCACAACCTGTAGGATATTTAAGATTTTATTTTAAGTATTAGGAAATTTTTTGAACTACAACATTATTCCACCAATAACACTACATTACACTATGCTTTCTTCTTTACAATCTTATAGGATGGCAGTTACATTACATTGGTGTATCAATATCTTAATAATTTATCTATTAATAACAATACTTGTTCATTCTTACACATTTAAAGACAGAATTCATAACATTTCTGTATGTTAACATTCTTCAATTTACCCTTTTCATTCTTTTAGTTTAGCCAGCATATAAAATCAGACTTGGAATTGTAGCACATACCAAGGCCATTTTTAATAGACTTTTATAATTACTAAGATATAAACTCTGTAGCATTTCCACTATTTATTATTTCAAATATATATATGTAGAACATAATTTTACAAAGGACAAATTACTTATATTTTATATAAATTATAAATAATAACAACAAAATATTTGTTGCTTTTCATTTATAATTTGAATAATTTTTCATAAACAACTTAGTCCTTTGTAACCGTACATTCCAAATAATATTTTATTTATAGTTTGCACAATGTTTATTTCTTTTAATTTCAGAAATAAATGTATATAATAATATTATAGCATAGATATTAATAAGATGACAAAAGTACCACGCTGATTTAAAAAATAATCCATTCATTTTGAAGATAACAATATTATTTGACAGAAAAATAGATTTTTTTTTTAATATATTTGAAATATTTAGGGATTAAACCAATAACCGTTATCAATTAGAAAATGCAAAGTATGTATGCTTTCATAGCAGTGTCAAATAATTTTCTATAAGGCAATATTACAAAAGGGTCTTTTATAACAGAATAATTATTACTTTAATTAAATCTTATATAATTAAGAAGATACTATATTGTTCACTAGTTGTCAGAATGTCTCAACTCTTAAGTAAAAAATAATTGCTAGAATTTTTGTTATTTTATTAACTACACTTATAATAGTTCTGAATCTTTTCCTAAATCTTCTATCTATAATGAAATTCGAACATTTACGAATTTCATAATTCGAACATTTACGAATTTCATAATTCCTGATTATTTTGCTAGTAAAAATGGATCGATTCGAAATCTAAGTTAAAAATCTATGTAGACAGAGTTTTAGCTAGCCATACACCAATAATATACACTTTATGTAATTAATTCAATTTGTATGAGACACAAAAAATTCATTTAATTAACAATTATTCTGATAAAAATATGTAATCGAACTTATCATGGAGAATATCCAGTATGTTGCACATTCTTCGTTACACGATCCTTGACATTACCAGGTTTGTTCATTGGTCCTTAAAAATAACAATACTTTTAATATAATTTAAATTAGACACTTTAAAATAAACCTTTAAAAATGAAAATTTGTATAATTATGCTAAATTAAATAAATTGTTTATTATTTTTAATACGTTCGGTGTCACGTATCAAAATTGTTTGCTTTAAATTAAAATACAGTTCTACATTGATGAATCATGTATATTTTTATTCTTTTATAAATTGAAGTTTATTTATATTAATATAAAAAAAAAAAAAATTCATATAATCTAAAGAATTATTTCTGCTCTAGAGTATATTTATTATTATAAAAACTATGAAAATAAATGGATAATATATAATAGATAATTTGAAAATGGCGCCGAACGTATTAACGCGCATTAATTTTACTTTTGAGTTTATTTACAACATAGTACAAAAATATGAAAAATGAAGATTTTCTATTTGTTTTAGAATGTTACCTATATAAGATAATATATGTGCAAAATAGTAATACAAAGCAGTAAAATTAAAATTATATATTGCTTAACGCATAAACATACATTGCAGGATAAAAACCAATTATACATCCTCCACCAAGCTTTCCCAAAGCTTTGCAGATTATTTTATGAAATAGAAATGATATATCTACATAACTTTTATAATAAGTAGAAAAAATGAATTTCTATTGCTGTAATTTATTTGTGTTATAACATTAAAGAATTATATTTGATACAAGAGGTTTAAAAGGACTCGTATTAAACTTTATATATTAACATTTAATGTAAATATAATTATAATTGTTTGAAACATTTTGATATAGACAAACTTTCATAACTGTGTAAAGTTAGTGTATTGTAGTATTACCTTATTCCTTTGGAGAAAACGCGGATCCCTCATTGTGTAGCTCTGCACCTCTCGCGATAATGAGCTGGTTGAGCTCCATCGAGAGAGCTATATGCCATATACAACATAATAATGTTGTCTCACTAACCAATACTTGTCATAATATTAAGTATCATATATATTTACTTTATATTATGCACATTATTACTATTTTAGAAAATATGTCATGTAATATCTTTTTAAATGTTTTTGTTAACAACCCTTCAATAGATTGGTTTTAATGAGATTATAATAGTTAAAAGAAAAAATTATTTACAACAACTTTGTATAAGAATTCACAATATTTATCAATTCATTACATTGTGGAATATAAGATTACTTACTATTGAAAGGTAAACATGCACTAATAATAAAACATTTGTATGCTAATTATTTTACTCGTATTATTGCAATATGCCTTATGTCAAATATTTACATATATTTAGGTACGTGCAAAGGAAATTAATAGTAAAATAAAATATAAATTTGATCGATTAATATCTACTATAAATGAAAAAAACAGACGAAAATGTACACTAAATAAACTAACATAACAATAGGAAATAGAAAATAAACAAACTTATTATATTACAGTTCTGTGAAGAATTTTAAATCTTAAGTATACAAAGAAAATAAATTATGAAAAAAGCACCCAATATTATAAACGAACATTAAGCAATTGTAGCAAGACATGCGTGTTAGGTATGAAATAACTCAAAATTAATAAAATGGATATTCTTACTATCAGCAACAATTATTATTTGGCTACATCATTCTGCCTCCCCGACTGCTTGCAAAAGGAAACAAAAAGAGAGATAGATTAAACACATATACATACAAGAAAATATTCTATTGGAAAATTTGAAAGTCTGATCAAATATTTTTGCCCTACGATATGATTATTGAAACAATAGATCGTTTTTCGATCGTATGTTTTTTTAATCGACAAACAATAATTTTAAGAAGACATAATGCTAAGTATCCTGACACTCTTTTGTTAAAATTCAACTTTCTCCATATTACTGTATGTCTTATTTACTTTAATTTAATTAAATAAAAAAAGAGAAATGATAAAATTATTTGTTTTGTAATTGGACAATCAAAAGGAAAGGTTAAAGAACAAAAGAAATTAACACATTTATACAGAGCTCTAATGATTTCTTTTATTCTAACTTTCAAGAAGTATATAAAACTTACATTAAATTTCAATCAAAGAAATATATGATATTAATATTAATTACTACTTTTCATTTTTTGTTTATAATCATTATTGCTCCGTTTATGCATAGATACAAATATACAGGTCTAAGGGAAAGTTAGGACTGATTTTAGCTCATTTAAGACAAAATAATTTCTAAAGAAAAGGAAAAGAAAAGGATGTTTAAGTGTCTTAACATTACAGTTCCGAGAAGATTTAAATAAAAAACTAAGCTGCATACCAGCATACTGCAGCCAAAACGCAACGGCAAGAAAAAGTATTTTGTGTATGTTGTGTTTCAGATAGAAACTGTTTAAGATGGAAAATTTGTATGAAACTGTACTGTTATTGTTGTATATGTGTTATAACTATTAAAATAACTTGTAGAAATTAAATCTAGAAATGTAAATATTATAGATCTAACTTACTCCTTGAGTTACATTTTCATTAGGATGTGTAGCAGGTATACTTGGTGCTGGAGCTGGTGTTAAAAAATCGACAGGTGCACTCGGATCATTTACTGCAATATAAAATAATAAAATGTATTTTTATCATTCAACTCATTAATTTTTCCAATTCTCATATATTATTATATATTAATTTTCATTTTTACCTGGTGCAGGAATGAATAATTGAGGAGATGATACAGCCATAGGTACAAATGGAGATGTTGCAGGTGTTGGTACATTTGGTGAAGCTGTACTGCTTTTCCCGCCGTTTGGATTCATTACATCTATATAATTGGCACGCATATTTCTTCCTTTTTGCAATTTGAACATATTGTAATTAGCGTGTACTTTAGAACCATTTATGTTCATTGCTTCTTTAGATTGTTTATTATGTATAGGGGGTTGAGGTACAGTAACTTGTTCAGTTGATGATGGTTTGATACCCATATCAGTTGCTTTTGGTGGTGGAGGCAAAGCTGCTGAACTAGTATCTGCATCTTCATCTTTATTCATCCATTTTTTTGCAACAGGATCCCAAACAATCTGTAAATGAAAGTATTTATATTAATTGTGTGTATGTTATTTATTCAGATAGAACATGCTGTAGTATATAACTTTTATTACTTAATAATACATAGGGCTTATGTAGTTTTAATCTTGCAATATTCCACACGTAAACAATGCAATCTCTACTGATAAATAAACAATGACAAAGTTAGTAATTAATCAATCATTTTATCAAAGCCAAATAATACTGGCCTGCTTATCTTCCATTTGATCACTGATGATCAATTACCACAAAAATCCGCCTAAGCCCTTTGTTATATAAAACATAAAATTATCTATTGTAATTTTTCTATTATAAAAAAAAAAACGAAAAACAAAAAAAGAGAAAGAATATATCATAGATACGTTACCGTAGGATTACTATCATCTGGTAGTATCATTTGATTACGTGGTTTTGGAGCCAATTTACTGAACAGACCTCCAAACCATGAACTACCTCCATTAGGCGGTTTCTTTTCAGTATTTTTTTCAGATGTCTTCTTAGTTTCTGTTGTAGATTTAGCAGTTTGTCTTGGTGTTTCTAAGGCGTCTAACTCTTCTAATGGATCATATTGTTTACCCGTAGAAGATGTCATAGAAATTGCTGGTTGTATTGGCTGAAATAAAATATATAAGTCATGATCGCAAATTTATTCTTTGAAATCCATTATGTATAAATTAATGTATAAGTAATTATTTGCATAAGTATTGCAATTTGTTATTTATATGATGAATAACAATAAAATATTATTTTTCATATTTGATATATGTTTATCAATGAAAATTAAATTATTTATATTACTTAGATTAATAATATAATAATAATATTTAGAAACACAAATATATCATTTTTTAATAAAGAATAAAGGCAAATATAAATGCTTAAAAACACAATGGTATCACATAACACAATAATTTTTATTTTCTGCTTACCATAATAACATATTTGTGTGTTCATATATATTTTTTATATATATATATATATAAAATATATTATATATATATACACACATTGTGTGATAACGAATACATAAACTATAGTATAATGCAACTTCTAACAAAATATTTTAAAATATTTTTTGTACAAATTGTTCACACATAAAATAGTACTAAATAATGATGGCATTCTTATATAAAAACTTATAATAGCAACGACACTGCGCAATATAATTAACAACACTATTTCATTGTATTATATGGAAATGGCATGAAAGTATTTATAAGTACACTAAATATTTTGTTTGTATTATATATCCTATTCACAATACGTAGGAACATCAATATCATAATTTATAGAAATATGTTCCTGTACAAAATCTGTATCTGTTAATGAATAATGTTTGTTTTCAGATGAAATTGGTACATCTATTGGATAAGTTCCTCTAAATATTAATGGTTTGTAATGAGATAGATCTTTACTATTAGAATATGACCATGCATCTACTGTATCACAAATTACATCTTTTCTTCTAATGTGAGGAGCCACTCTTACAACTTTTTTCTCTTCAAAAGTGCAGTATTGTTCTAATGTTTGACCATTATTATTATTATTATTATTATTATTATTATTATTATTATTATTATTATTATTATTATTATTATTATTATTGTTATTGTTGTTATTGCTTATATTTATGCTTTCTGATAATGGATCAGATGGATCATTGAAAGGATGAAATTGTGCAATATCAAACTGGATATCTAAATCTGTTTTTTGTGAATTCGTTTTAATTTTTTGATTTGATGCTTCTTCACTTGTATTAACTATAGTCTGTTTCTTTACTTTACATTTCAAAAAAACAGGAGGTTGTGAAGAAGGTGGCTTAACATATTTAGGATCAATTTTCTTTGATTTTGGTATATTTTTTGGATGAATTTTATTATCATTTAAAATTTTTGGATATGCAGCAGATATTTTAGGATACTTAATAAATTTTTTAGATTTTTCGACATTAATTTCAGAGTTTGCAAGAGTATGAAAATTTGAAACCATTGTAGAATTATACTGTGATATACTATCTAAAATAGATGTTTCAGAAGAAGCGCAGGAATTTAATGTAGTCAGTACTTTACGGCGACGTAAGGTGCTATTATTCTTGCCATCCAATGGCCATTCAGAATTGAGATTATTACCCAGAGTAAGCGTATAATTACTTACTTCAGGAGTAGATGTTTTTTCTTCTCTTTCCGCCTGTCCATATGCAAGCATTAAGAAAGAGATAAGATATTATAATCCTAATTTATTTTAGTTAAAGCATTAATATTTAAAATCAGGAAATAAAAGCTTCCCAAAATGGACAAACACAAATAGAAATAGAATAAGTTATAGTTGTATGATATAACAATATTACATGTATGGGAAATGATTACATTAAAAATGCATTTATATATGTATCTTATAAAATATTATTAAGAAATATTCAGTTTACCTCATAGTTCCATTTTTCCTGTTGTTGAGAATTATCAATATCAGGCTGATCATCTGTATATTGAGCATGAGTAGATTGTTGCTGCCAACTAGGAGATGTACCACCGTTTCTGCCAAAATTATTTTGATAATATGTTTGTTGTTGGTTCCAGTAATCTTGTTGCTGAGATTGTTGATATTGATTACTTTCATTATTATGTATATATTGTGTAGATTGATCATATGTATCTTGTTGTATATTTGACGGCAATGATAATGGTTCCCAATCTGATTGCATATCTGGGGCTGTAACATCTACCATAGATGTTGGTCCATCTTTGTACTCAGCTTGTTTAGTAACCCACTGTTGTTGTATTTGTTGTTGCTGTGATTGTAATTTAATGTCATGGGTTTCTTGACTTTGTAAATTATTCTGTCCATCTGCATTAACTTGCGATTCATATGTATCACCTTCAACTATTTCTCCAATCTATAACATCATAGAAAATTATTATTTCCAAATATTGTTATTAATACTACAATTTTTCCAATGAAAATAATATAATATAAGATATTACCTGATATTTATTTACAATTTCTGCTAAGTTATTTAACCAAGTAAGATTAGTAGCATCTTCAGTAGAATCTTTGCAAACAGGATCATGATATTTGATTTTATCACCCAAAGCATAAACTGCCGTAATAAAAGATTTTTTATATTTTGAAGGTTCATTAAAAATGTTTACTGCAATTTGTTCTATATAAAGTAAGGCTTTCTCTATCAGGCCATAATCAACCATTTTGACTGCCAGGTCAAATTTAAAAGTTTGGAGATCTACCGAAGTAAAACCAGGCTCGCTAAGATTACGAGCATATTCATAAATTTCTGTTAGCATAACAGCTTCTGTTGTCATAAATTCAGAATACGGCTTGTGATGATTAGAACCAATAAGAACAAGTTTTGCTGAATTTATTCCATATGCACTAAAATCAACTTGTGCCAGAATGTAACAAAAATGAGCCGCATAGATATCCCCTCTCGCAAAAAGTGTATCTCCAAGTGTTGTTATTGATCGCCGATTAATTTCAGGATTAGTAGATGTATTTGAAATAATCATAGCTAAGTGAGGTCTCCAGTCGTCCCATCGTGGATCTGCTACACACTGTCAGCCAAATAGAAATCAATGTATTAATATCTTATATATGTAATTTAATTATATCAAAAACAGTAAATCCTTACTGTTACAATAGCTGGTATGCGACCAGAATGCAACTGATATAATGTCTGTAATGGATCAGAAGGTAATAGACTATTTGCAAATCGTGTCATTACTGAAGCATAGGTACGCTTATCCAATTTGCTAGCTAAAAATAATGCATGTCCCCATAGTCCTTCAGTCATAGCATATTCTGCAGAATATTATAGATTTATGTTAATAACTAAATTTATGCTAACAGAATGTATATAAATGATTATATACATGAATATATATACCTAATGCTTCTTGAACTAATCCATAAAGAAGTGTATTTCTAAATTCATCTGTCATTTGTTCTACAGTTTTCTGTTGTTTAGTACTTTCAACTTTTTCAGTAGTTACTGGAATATCCTGATTGTTCCCATTTACACTTATTCCAGATCGTTGTGACATCACAGACTCTCTTCTTCCTGTATCTTGCAGCTTTTGCTTATTTACATCATAAGGATAAGCATCTTTATTTCTAAGTAAAAGTGCTGCTATATCAACACCGACAACATTCTGAAAATTAATTATAATTAGATAAAATTTTTTTCAAATAATTATTCTTTTCATAAAAATTACTTACGCCATTTTGTTGGATTAGCATAATCATCAATTCATACAAAAGTATATAAGAAGCACGATCAATCATATCATCATTTGCTGTTGCATTTTTAATTTTATTTTCGCAATATTTAATTATCGTTTTCTTGTGCGTGACTCCTCTATAAAATAAATATCATAATTCATTAACTTATTGTTTTATATGTAATTAAAACAATAATTAAACACTTAAAAATAATTATGTATAATTTTGTGATTGCTACTATTATAATGGAATTGAACATGCTTACATATCAAATATGTGCTCTTTTTTTCAATAATGTAATTATTTAAAATTATAATTCATGCAAGATTCCATCGAAATAGAAAATATTAAATTAACTATAGATATACATGCTTAAATTGTAATGTTGTTAATTACACTTGTTTAATTAGAGGTCCCGGATAGGCACGTAAGTCACGTGCAACAGGATCATGTAAGAATAAATTGTCCACTCGTAAAATGTCCACTTTAGCCCTTTCACCATCAGCTGGATAACTTGGCTGAACATGTATAAGTGATCCAACAGAAAAAGATCCTAAGAAAAAGATATACTGTTGAGAAATAATGAAATACATTACATACCTAAACAATTCATAAGTACTGATACAATATCTGAACTACAAAAATAATATAGAAACTTTACCATATACATGGCAAGTGGAATATTTTGTTGGTGTTAGTCGTGCAGATGTTGTTGAGTCTTCAAACTGTGACATATGAGCTAAGGTTCGTTTATCTCCAGTGGTTCTAAAAATAATACCTAATGTGTTGTTATATCTTTCATAATATTTTTCATTATTTAAAAAGAAAAAAAAATATACATAAAATATATAAACTGCAGTGTACACAATATACATACTTCACATCATAAAAAATACAAAACCTATTGAAAGCATTAATTTCAAGCTACAACATATAAATATCATTTGACAAAGAACAAATATTCTAAGCTAAAATTAAAGAAACCTTCTCACAAAATATCATCTACTAATATTTAATTCTTAGATGTTTGTGTAATATGATATTTATATTGATAAAGGATTCTAACTGTTATCATTACAAACTACAATTTACTATTTATTTTAGATATCTAATAATACATTCTATACATTTTGACAAATATTAATACTAAACCGAGAGAAATAAGTCTCTCGGTCTCACCTATTCAAATTGTGACTAGAAGTTCTTCTCTGTGGAAAACTCTTCCCCCATTCAGGATAACCAAAATATGAAACGTATAGAGCTTTGTTTGGTGAATGGAAGCATGCACTTGGATTTGTAAAAAATCTGATATATTATAAGATTAAGACTTTTATAAGATTTAGAATTTCTGTTTATGCATTTAGTTATTATACATTCATTGAATACAATGGATTAATCAATAATGCTTACCGTTCCTCACAAGAACTGCGTCCTGAATGTACACTAGCTCTATCCTCTGGATAATTACTAACACCTCTAGATATGTGTTGCTGTGGATGCTGGCTGGCATAATATTTATGATACCATTCTGCATAAGCAGCAGGATTGGTACGACGTAAATTCTCGAGATATGCGTAATAATTGTTACCATAATGAGCATTATAGTCATATCCACCATATCCTGAAAAAAAATTAGACGTATATTTTTCTTATAAACATGTTTCCTTTTCTACTTTGATAGAACTTACCATTGTAAGCATAATAAGGATCTCTAGAACGCATGTAGTATTCCCTATCTCTGTCATTATAAGAAGATCTGCTAGAAGGTCTAGAACTGAAAATATTTTTATTTACAAACTAATGTAAATTTTTTATATTAGTATTAAAAATATAGTAATAAAATGTATATATATATATATATATTTTTTTTTTTTAAATACCTTCTACTATAAGGATCTTCATAATATTCCCTTCTGTATGGGTCTCTAATATCATAATCATCGTATCTTCTAGGTCGTCTGTCGTCCCTTCTTCTATCGCGACCGACGTATTCTCTATCTCTAGTATATCTCAAATCATAATCTCTAATCTCTCTTTCCCTTCTACGTGGATCATCGCCTCTATCTCTCCTACGATCATCTTGCCTTCTTCGTCCATCTCTATCATCTGAATCATCTTTAACTCTATTTCTTCTTTCAATTTCATCCCTTGGATGACGATCCAAATCATCACGACTATGATGTTTACGATCGTCATCTCTATAAGAAAGATCTCGACGTTCGAAATCATTATATGGTCTTTCATTATCTACTCCACGTCGACGTTCGTAATAATAATCATCATCATACTCACGCTCACGATCGTAACTGCAGTAAATTGATTTTTTATTAATAATTTTTTATATTTAATATCATAAATATTTAATTAATTTATATATTAACATAACTCACTATGTATTTTTTCTATCATAATCATAACGTCTGCGCTCGGGACTGGCATCTCTATGTCTTTCTCTACTATCTTCCCTACTGTTTCCAGATCCTTCATCATCTTCATTTTCATAAGAATCTTTACGTACTGATGGTACTTGAACACTTTGATTACCACCTTCGGATGCTCCAACTGCTTCCTCTCGTTTATTTCTTGAATCAGTTGCTTGATCCGAAATAGAGGCTAAAATATTAATTTAAAAAATGTGAGAACTTCAACAATTAAATATTCAACATATATATGATTGTAAAAATTATTTATATATCCTTACGAATGGACAAAGGAAATTCTTGAGAACCTGTAACTATTCGTCCTGTAGATCTATCATCTGAAGATTGAATGGTTTCATTAGGAGATGCACCTCCTGGAATTTGTCTAAGTCCTCCATCTGATTGTTGAGTAACTTCTTCAGATTCATTGCCTCTTCCAGGTATTTCACGTATTTCACTTGATTCAAGCATTATTTGAGATTGTACCTGGTATCTCTCTTCTCCTGATGGATCATTTCTAGACTGTTGTGGAGGCAAAGAACGTTCTCTGCCAGAAGGATCATTTTGACGTTCTAATGTATCTGATTCACTCCGAGAAAGAGAAGATATACTTCTTTCTTGGCCAGGTGGAACATCTCGACGTTCAGATCTATCAGATATATTTCTAATTTGAAGCCCTTGTTCTTGTCCAGAAGGATCATTTCTTCTTGGATCTGAAAGTCGCTGAATAGATTGTATATATTGTTCTTGCCCTGCAGGATCATTTCTATCATTTCTAAGATCAATAGAACTAGATTGACCAGGAACTTCACGTAGAAAAGGGATATCATTGGGGACTTCATCGTTTTCATCATCCTGATTTGGTGGAGATAATTCATGATCAGGATGAGAATCTGTTAATTCTCCAGTTTCTAAAAATGTGTTTCTATCATTCGATGCAAATTCATAATTGTTTAGAGCCTAAAAACAAAATTTATTAATTACAATAAAAATGATTAATGTATATGTTGACAGATCATCATAAAAATCATCCAAAAAATATTGTAATATGTAAAACAAACATACTTGGTCCTGTTGTAAAGATCGATGACTTTGTGTGTGCTGTTGTATAGAAGGAACCTCAACATTATTCACTTCTTGTCTATATTCACGTACATTGATTGTTTCTTTTTGAACATTTACAACAGCTTTAGGATCATTATCTAATGTTTCCCTATTTATAGAATCTCGAGATCCATAAATGTCACGTTCTTCTAGTGCAGGAATAACAACTTCTAAATTAACAAACTCAGAAGGCTGTTGAATATTTTCATAATTTTCAACAATTTGTTCAGGCCATTGTTTTGTTCCACGTATATTATCATTTGAGAACCATGAATTTTCGATCGGTGGTGGTATAGCATTATTATTATACCACTGATCATACATATTTTGTGATGCATTATCAGCAACTTTATTGGCATTTGTTTGATACATGCTTGAGACAGCATGTTCATGTGTAGCAATAGACTGACCATCAACAGATTGAAAACTCTCCATGGATTTTGTATAATCTGCAGTTGGCATAAGTATATTATCTGGAGTACCAATATTCTGAACGCTGGTAATATTATAACCTGAAGATATTTGTTGTATGTGCCCTTCTGAGTGTCCTGCAGAATAATATTCCTTCGGCTGATTTGGATTTTCTGGGTTATTTTTTTGCTTATTGGAAAAATTTAGTTGATACATTCCAGTAATTGTGCTATTTGATTGCAAAAAGTGATCATGTAATAATTAAATTTACGTGTGTCTCGAAAAGAGACAATGTACCAGCTGGTGAAATTCAAAGGGGTCCCATTGCGTTCATGGACCTTTCGACGTTCACTCACCTAGCTATAGTCTTTCGTGTTTCTCTCCATAAGAAAGTTTATACATTATACGAACACCAAAGATCAACCGTCAGGATAATATTGCACGCATAAGGGAAAAATTATGAATTCGTTTGCCAGTTTCGTGCAGACTTTTTTGATGGAAAACCAGATAAAGGGAATCACAAGAACGCACACATTCGTGTGTTCACGGATACCTTACATCGGTGTGGATGTGGGTTAAGCACGTCACAAATTTTCCTCGTTGACTTTCCACGTGAGCAGAACCGTAGACGCATCGTAAGGCGGACGCGTACTACAGAAACATCTATGGAAACTTTCTTTGGTCTACCGCTAGGCGTCGCAAATCATACTTTTCGCTAAAGCGTTTTAATATTGCAACGTTGCAATATATATATATATATAAGTTTTTAAAAATCCACATCTCGTCCCATTTTGGATAAATCATCTTAAATAAAATTCGTTTATCAGTTTCATAACGATGAGTTTTCAAGCGATATAGGACGAAGCAATTAGGTAGCATTCCTTATTTTCTAAAATTCTTTTAAACTAAATAGGATCAGATATCGCTTAGAAATACATAGATTTAAAAATCAAATGCATTTCTTTTTGTTTTTTTACGATAAGAAACTAATCATTTTGTTTTAAAGCAATTTGAAACCTACACTGTTGCACGATTCGAGAATACTGCTGTGTGAGAAATATGATTAAATGAAAAAGTAAAAGGCAAGAATTTCATAGATTTTAAATATTTCGTTCATTTATTCGATAACATCGACGAATCTCCCGCTCTTGAAAGTCAAAAGGAAAGAGGAAAAATATTAGCGTTTATTAAATTTGTATCATTTTGTCGTTATTTTATTTTACTGATTCTTAATAATTTTATTATATATTTGTATAAATTATATTGTAACATTTATACATATATATATGTATTATGATCGTTACTGATTAATTAGATGTCTAATATTAAGAAAGTTAAAGAATGTGCAACGTAGTCCATGAAAAATTATATTACTGACGTGGTAGGTAGCGAATGGACGTTGGTGGATTGGCCACATCCGCGATTAGTTGCGCGTAAATAAATGTTGAATATTGAACTTTCGAACATAGAAATAAAATATTGTGTAGTTATTATTGTTTCAGATTGAGCTGTTAATTAATTTATATTAAAATGGTATTATTAACAATGATAGCAAGAATATCAGATGGTCTGCCATTGGCGGCTACCATGCAAGAAGATGAACAGGTTAGAAATCTGTTATGATGAAATGTCACTTTACATTTTAACGACATTTTTTTATTTTAATTATGATCTGAAACTTGTATTATTTGTATATGTAATATATATATATATATATATATATATATATATTTTTTATATTACAATAATAAATAAATTTTATATAAAATGATATTGATAATCCTTAGGTACTGTGAATTTACATAAAATTGAAAGAATTAATTACATTTTTCAATTCTTTTGCATTTGTGTAGAGTGAAAGAAGTACTTTGGAATATCAGAATCAAGCAAAAATGTTATTTAGAAAATTAGGTTTACAATCACCTACAAGATGTACTATAGAAACTGGACCATATCTTTTTCAGTAAGTTTATCAATAAGAAATAAATAATATAAAGTTTGATATACATATATTTATATCATAATACTTTTTATTTAACAGTTATTTAATTGAAAATGAGGTATGTTATTTGGTATTATGCGAAAGGAATTATAGTAAACGAATAGCTTATAGTTATTTAGAAGATATAGCTCAAGAATTTCATTCTCAGTATGGTAAACGTGTTAATACTGTTGCTAGGCCTTATGCTTTTATTGAATTTGGTATGTAATAAAAGTTTCAAAAGTATTTATATCATACATCTGATATCATAATGTAACATCAATTTTTGTACACAGATACTTACATTCAAAAAGCTAAAAAAGTTTTCTCAGATGGTAGATCACGTAGAAATATGAATGCTCTTAACACTCAATTGCAAGATGTTCAAAGGATTATGGTTCAAAATATTGACGATGTTTTACAAAGAGGAACTGTACTTTCAGGTAAATTAATATACTTTAACAAAAAGTTATAGAAGTAAATATGACTATATATTATTATATATATGACTATATTTTAAATCATTTACAGAATTGGATACAAAAACACAAAATTTATCTATGCTGTCACAAAAATATAAGAAAGATGCAGCACATTTAAATAGCAAATCTATGTATGTCAAAGCAGTTGCTATTCTCGTTGCATTTCTAGTATTTCTGTTATACTTCTTTATCCTTTAGTTGATCACAAACTTAAAAAAATGGTTTATTCACAACAAAGTTTGTTCAAATCTAAAAGCCAGAAATACACTGTGTTATCATGAGGGTAAAAAATGGATTTTTGACTATCATCTTTGGATTTTATTTTTCAAATATAGGGATTACACAATTAGGCTACTTGTTGTTATTATCAAATTTGTTAGCCTTTATTCATCACACAATATTGTGTATTATACACATTAATTTTTATTCAATTATTAATAAAATTATAGAGATTTTACTAGAAAACAAAAGATTACTTAATTTTGTTTTTGATAAAAGTAAATTGCAGAACAATTACAATGTAAGTTTCAAATATGAAAAAGATATATACTAAATATAAGTTATCATTTTGTAAGTTCATTATTATAGCTTGAATTTATGAAAATCTTTTTTCATCACATTTCCAAAAATGTTGGATTCCAATTTATAATTTATTTATTAACTATGGTATTTTGGGGGTAATATATAAGGAATCTAATATATAAATATTTACATATATATTATACGTGATGGAAAAAGAACCAATCAAACTTGTGAATATTTGATTGTATGTGTTATTAATATTGTAATGTTTCTATCAAATTGTGCCAGTTTACTAAAAGATAGTATTTATAATAAAACTTTAAATTCTAATAGCAGAATTTAATAGCTAAATTTTGCCTGTGCAAATGCACGAATAAATTAGAATGTTCAAATTAATAAATCTTTATTATTTTTTTTTTCTTTTACTATAAAAATTATTTCTAGAATGTTAATATTATATTAATATTAGTTTGTTTTAATCAATTCATCGTAATTAGGTATATTAAAACTACATTTTCTGCTTTTATCTTCTGTATTTTGTTTGATATTACTTGCAATATCTTCTTCATCAGATTCTATAGAAGTAGTATTAAAAAAATAATTTACAGGTTTATTTATGTCTTGTATTTCTCCTTTGTCTTTATATGACCATCTCCTTTTTTGTTCAAAGTTTTTTTTAGGATAAATTTCTTCATCATCTGAAACGAAATATGAAAGATCAATCTATTTATTATTGAAATATAAATACACAAAATACCTTATAATATTTACCTGTATCTATAATTTCATACATATCTACATGATCTTTTAAAACTACATGCAATGTTGGAAATTCTATTATAGTTTTATTTTCTAAATTTTCCTTCAGTGTAAGTGTAATATCTAATTCGTGAAATCTGAAAAGTACCATATATTTATTGAAATAATTCAATATTTAATCTATAGTATATAAAATTATACACAATTTATATATTTTAGTTACCTAATATTAGACTTTGTTATCTTCTCAGTTTTAAAAAGAACTTTTAATCCATTTATATCAGCAGCTTGATAAAATTGTAATTTATCATTTAAACTTAATTTTAAATTTAGATTTTCAATATCACTTTTCTCCTCCATTGCTTTGAGAGGATATAAAACTTGCTCTAAGAGAACTGACAAACGAACTGTTTCCAAGGCTCTAATGATTATAAAGATTTTTTTTATATAAAGTACTAAATTATATTTATATATATATATAAAATATTTCAATATATATTCATATGTATATGTATGTATATATATACACACATACATACCTTTCTGTGACCTGTATTATGTTATCTGCTTGTGGAAATAACCATTCTATTCTCCAAAATAGTTCATTCGTTTTCCATTTTAAAAATGTTGTATTCTTTTTATGTTTAGTAAAATGTTGTGGCATAAAATAGAAATTAACTTTCCTGTTATAAGCACCTGTCCTTAGTCTGTTTAAATGCTACGGTATTATATATGGAATATAGTCCTAAACTTATTAAAATATACAAAATATATTAATAACATACCACAGGTAAATCAATGTTTCGTGTGCATTTTTTTAGTGGATTCTTTTTAAATTTATCAACAGATCTACCAACTTCTTCAAGCAATCGATAATCTGAAATTTACATTACATTCCTTTTTATCATTTAGTATGCCGAAACAATTAATCTATTTATATAAAACGATGTACCATTTAAGAGATCTAAATCAGTAAACGAAGATAATGGTTTAAACTTTATTCTGTCTCGAATTCCATCGCATTCGAGTTCTTTTTTATGAATATTTACACATATAAGACAGCATGTTCTAACCTCACATTTTGGACAAGTATATTTTGCTTTATTTGCACTACACACTTCACATTTTTCTAATCTGTAAGCAAAAATAATTTGTTTCTTTCTCTAATCGAATCTATAAAACATTTTTTTCTGAATCTTGTTTCTCTTTCTTAATAATAAGTATTTTTATTACGTTACTAATTTGTACTCACTTGACATTGGACGCCGCCATTTTGTTAATATATCTTTAAAAACAATACCACTTGATTTTTTTATTATTTAATTTATCTCATAATTAAGAATTTTATTTAAGATTAAAACAAAATTATTTATTGTTCTAATATAAATATTACACGTATAAATATTTATTTTATAAATATTTTTGTTATTTTATAGTTACTAGTACTTGTTTTGACTATCTGTGTATATAATGTCAATCGTTACATTCGAAATACATCTTGAATTGGATCTCTTTCTTCACTTGTTGTTCTGTCGTAAGTAATTATTAAATTACATTAGAAAAATCCATAAATTTGATTTTATTAGGATGATTAAAGTTATTATCATTAAAATCATAATTATATATTGCATGTAAAAGAAAAATGGGAAATGTATTTCATTACAATTAATATATATATATATAAAGCAACATTTTGAAATATTAGTTATTTTAATAGAAGTTACATTATTTTAAGGATTATTTGTACGTCTATTTATATATATATATATGTATGTATGTATATATATATATACACATACATATATATACATATATATTTAGTTTGGATCGGTATCAAACATACACATGTACTTTTATTATTTACTTTAAAATATAGACAATTTTGCTTTGTTTTTTCTTTGAGTTTGTTCAGCTGTAATATTTTTCTCACAAGTACGTAAATCAGTAAGTTCCTTTTGTTTCTGATTGTACTGCGCTAGAATATTTTTGTAAGGTGTGCTATCTTTTGAATGTCTTGTCATTGAATTTTTAAGTTTTAATGATTCTCTTTCTAGTCGGCTAATACCTTCTCCTATTTGAAAGTTTGCCACATTTAAATTCCAATTTGATTCTGTCTTCAAATTACATTTAGATTTTGATGTACTGGCAACATCTTTATTTTTATCTGTAAAATTAAAAAAAACTGAAGTTTCAATACTTTAACCTTTGGATTAACTACAGGATTTACACAAAATCTGGTAATATTTTAAATGGTAATATGTAACAAAATATGATAACATTTTATGGTATATATACAGGATCATATGTATATATACACTTACTTTCGACTAATGTTGCATTTAGTGTCGTATTTAGGAAATTGAATATATTATTTCGATCCTTTTTCTTTTCTCTTTCATATTCTCTCTGTCTTTGTCGTTCTAACTTTTGTTGCTTTTTACGCATTTTAAATTCTGCCGAAAACAAATTTTTATCATTACCAGCTATTTCGCGCAACTCCATACAATGATCTATAAGAAAAACATATAATAAATAATTATATCATTAACAAGAAACTATACTAACAGACATTAATGTTAAAGTTATTTTTCACCTAAAGATCTACCAGCTGGTAATATTACAGCTTCAATAGGTTCTATTCTTCCATCTGCTCGTTTTCCTAAACCTGTACCTCTCACGTAACCCATTTTCTCCATTAATTTACTACCTATACCACGTGTATGTTTTTCCCAATGCCCTAGAGTAGATGGTGCTGTTAGTAGAGATTTATCTATTAACTTTTCTGTAGTGTAATCTTTTTCATTGTTATCAGTTTCACTGTCATCAGATGCATCAGATATTTCCGAATCTGTAGTATCTATAAAATAAAATTATATATATATATATATATTTATATGTATATAGGTATGTATATAAATATAATATAGATGTGTATAATACATACCAAGAGGTACAAGATCTTGCAAACCTACTTCTGCAATATCACCTTTTGCTTCAAGTTTTACACGAAAAACTTCTTCAATTTCATCAGGCAATTTTATTACTACTGATCTATACCACAGATTATTATTCTGTTTTACTAGTACTCTACTGCCCATCTTAATCTTTTCATACTTAGGTTCTCTATAATCGAAGAAAATTAAGGAAAGAAAATTTACTTTAAATGATAAAATATATATCTTACTTATATTCCTGCAGATTGGAAAATGATACTATTTCTCCATGTGAAAAATGACATTGATCATCAGAGAACTTACAATTTCCATCAAAGAAATATGGACATGGAAGCATTTCTTTATATGTTGGATTAATAAAGAGCACTCTGACCTATTTAATAATGATATAAGAATTATTAGTAGAAGATTAAGAATTAATTCTGAAACAAACGTGCACCAAATATTGGTCTGCCTGAAATATCTCTTCATTCAATATTTATTAAAGATTATTCTGAAGATTATTTAAAAAATGTACTAAAATTATTTATCTAATTTATTAACTATTATTAAAATATTGATTAACCTTGATTTCATGCATAGATTTCAATGTTGGATTAGTACTTCTATCAACTGAACATATCATAGCATTGTGGTAACCACTATTATCCCAACTGCTATTAAGGCGAGCTCTACATTTCATTCCCTCAAGTTGCTTCAATTCATCCTAGAATATTAACTTGCACCGTATAATTGTATCATTGCTATGCCATACCACATATTTGCGTACTGACTTCTATATCATTCCAAGCACCTGCAGCATCACTATTTTGCTCAGTGTTCTTTGAATTGTTTGAGCAATCTTCTATTTCTGCCTGCAAAAACAACAAATTATTTATTTCATTTCAAAGAAAATGTAGATAAATTAATTACCTTAAATAAGGCATATTCATTTGCCAGCGGATCAGTTTTATCATTTTCCTTGCTGTTAAAAATTTCAATTATATCTGGACTTTCAGTTCTTCCAATTCCTTCGAGTTTTTCTAAATTTTCTTTAGTTAAATCAATTAATTCTTGAAGATTTGATTTTAAATTCAACAAATCATTCTTTTCACTTTCCTCTGTTTCCATAGATAACGCAGATACAATTTGGGATAGCTGTAACATGTGGACAATATATTTAAGGAAAATATATAGATCGTTCGTCAATAATATTTTTATAAAGGTATATATCAATTTCTTTCATTATTAATTTAAATATTATACCTGAAATTCATATTGGATTATTGCTTCTTTCAGACTTCTAACGTCCGTCATTGTAAAAACGTATTAGTGAATATGAAAAAATTAGCAAATTATTTAAAACAATTGTTGATACAGAACTATTATAAAAACCTATTATAAAAGATTATATATTATTGTATAATATTCTATTATTACAAGTAAAACGCATCACAAAAGAGCACAACTCACTGTCAGTATTAACTGGAAAGAATACGAAAGCAAACTCTATCCACTTGCGCCCTCTGTGTAAGTAATTCGATATTGTTGAATATAATCGCAATGATAATAAAACATTAAATAATATTATCAATCTAGAAAAATACGATTAATATTTTCTTCAAATATTATTAAGAAAAGTATACATTTATATATTTTTCTTTTTTATTATAATATGGTATATTTATTCAGGTAAAGAACATTCTAAAAAGATAGAAAAGCACAGCGCCTCGGTAGCGCAGTAGGCAGCGCGTAAGTCTCATAATCTTAAGGTCGTGAGTTCGATCCTCACCCGGGGCAGTTTTTTGCACATTCAGAATATAAAATTTATTTTTTACAATAATAAATATAATAATAGAAATACACTCTATATGCAATCTTTTTTCTATAAAGACTATTAATTATCTCATTATTAAAAATTGAAATGAATTTTATTCGTAATATCATGAAATTAATTGTGTATCGATACGTTCAAAGAAAGTAGATCGTAAAATCTTAAAATATATTGATAATAGTAAGAAAAAAGATACTGGAGGAGGGAGAAAGGAAAGAGAATAAAAGACAATTATGTAAATGTAACGCATGCCAAAGGGCTTGCTCTCTCTCTCTCTCTCTCTCTCTCTCTCTCTCTCTCTCTCTCTCTCTCACTCTCTCTCTTTCTCTCTCTCTCACTCTCTCTCTCTCTTGAAATTGAAATGTGGAATTTAAAACGAGTTGTGAATTGTTTGGTGCCCTTTAGCGATACTACAATTTGCAAGCAAACAGCCCATTAAGCAAAGACTACCGACTGTTTTTCTTTTTACAGGAGAACATTTTTTATTTCGTCATCAGCGTTTTCAATTCTTGCAGAGGAAGATGGACAAAAGTTACATCAATGTCATCTATGATTTAATAGAGAATGAAAATCGATGAAAATAACTTCGTCGTAGCGGAAAAAAATCAACATAGCGTTTCTTCCGCAAGAAAGATGACGCAGAGAAAGGGATAGTAGATATGGAGTGGATATTTCGAAGGAAATAGAGAAAGGTATGTACGCGATTCAAGGAAAAAAGTCTGCATTGGAGAAAGGACGGCTTTATCCGTTCACTGCGGAGCTGTTACGTATAAATGCAGAAACGCGGCCCGGTTCGCGGAGGTTGAGCGATCGTTGGTGGGAGCGAGCTTGATTCCGCGTTGATTCAGACCGTATTCAGTGCATCGAGCTCGCGATGAAAAGGCGTTCCGTTTTCTGAATATATTCCAATTAAAAAGTCGGAGCTTCGTTGCCCTCACCTCTGCCCGCTCACCTCTTGCTTTTGCCTCTTCCCTCGAAAGAGAGAAAGAGAGAGAAAGAGTGAGAGGAGAGAGAGGAGAGAGAGAGAGAAAGAGAGAGCAAGCGCCGGCTCAAGCGGCAACTCGAGCGCTCTTCTTCTTCTTTTTCTTCTACGCCCCACTATCCCGTACCACCGACCCCCTTTTACTTCTGCCTTTTGCCTTCCGCCCCTACCGACGACGCGATCCCTTTTTCCTATCGCTCGACCAACCAGACATTTTCTCCCTCTCGCTGTTTCTCCAGCAATTACTTCTCCGCTTTTTCTTCCTTCCTCTTTTTCACTTTTCTATCTTTCTTCCCTTCTAAAAAACTCTTTCTACCATTTTTTCTTCTTCGATCCTTCCTAATATACCTTACTCAATTTCATCCCCATATTTTCGTCCGAATAATTTTCATTATTTTCAATAATTGTTTCATATTTAGGAAAATGTAGATGATACGCATTTAAAAGATATCCTAGTTGATAATATTTGCCTAAAAAAGTTTATCTCTAAATTTGGATTATACTTTATGCAATTGTTTTTAACATGGGAAACGGCGGATCAAGCTGTTGTTTCATTCTCTATAAAAAACAAATGTAAATTCGATGCGTATGTTCGCGCACGTACGCCTTGGAACCCCATGAAGTATTTAACGATGCCACAGAATGAAGGCACATCGTAAGGCTAAGGAGAGGAGAAGACGAAGAGGAATACGAAGCGCGTGCCCAAGTGCCAACAGGATTTACGCACGTATGCACGCGCGTGTGCAAGCGTGTATGCAAGCGCGTGTATAGATACGGATATTCGCTTGAGTACAATGAGCACGTGGCCAGGCACACGCAACACCACTTGTCTCGCTCAACTTCGATTCCTATCCCTTCATGGATGATCCTTGGGTCAACTTTTCGTCCTTGATCTCGAGACTGCACCACTAAACAAAGTTAAGAGAGAGAGAGAGAGAGAGAGAGAGAGAGAGAGAGAGAGAGAGAGAGAGAGAGAGAAAGGGTCATCCTGTAACAAATACGACTTCGCTATAAATATCATAAGTTTGTTAGCAAAGCTAATGCAAGAATTTTCGTTGAATATACTAATCGCATTTTTAATCCAATTTATTAATTAAGATAAAAATAGGATTCATTTTTGTATCAAATGATATTTAATTATAAATATATATATATATATATAGGTACGTAATACGAATACGTGAAGCGAGCGAGAAATAACTCAGAAATCTAAATTAACGCGATTATATTTAGAAACGGTCTAATGAATTTAAAATTGTTCGCAGAGATAAAACGTTCTAATTACTTATATTGCTGGCACGTTTTAATTATTTCGCTGGTTAATGGTTAACATTGGAAAGAACGAAGAAACGAATGTAGTACGGTAGGTCGAAGAACAGTAACCGCCTGAACCGACTGAATAGCGAATGCCGTTGGATATCATCGTGAATACTATACGAATGATTATGTGAAAGTAATTACGCGTAAGATATTACGTAGGAATATCATTGAGATTTCGTTTCAACTATGCTGCAGTGAGTCCTAACAAAACGAAAGAGAAAAAGAGAAAGATGATTCAAGTTGAAGGAGGACATAAGAATTTTTCCTTCGTTCGAGCGATTTCACGCTCGGTGAGACGAATCTGCTTTTCCTATAATTCGAGGACTTGGGATGTAAGAAAAGAAAAAGAAATAGAAAGAGATAGAAAGAGTACCACGGTTTATTCCATTCTGAATAAACCCGAAAAGAGTATCTTCCTTTCTACGATCCCTTTTCGCTTATCTTGGATATACGAACTGGATATACGAAACTCGATATACTTGGATATACGAAACTTCGTGTAATGGAATTGACATGTATATGTTTTGTTTTTTTTTTATCGTTTTGTTTCTTTTTTCTTTTTACATTTCAATAAGAAAGAGATCATTAACAATACCTTTATCTAGTAGCTATGCGTGTCGCCTCATAAAGTAATCATCATTCGTATGAAGATACCGTTCTTTCTCCTTTTCTATTTCGCCCTAATTAACGTTATCGATCCAACGCGAAACATCGACGAAAGACAATTGCTTGTATCGTCGATTGTATATTCTCTCGTAGATTCCATTCAATTAAATTCGTAAGCCAATTCGTGTTCTAAGTGGCCTTGATTCTTAACTTGTATCGGTTTCAACCAATTACTTCGAACGGGGCAGGATTTGTGCGCGTTTTGGACACGTGCCCATTGTTGTTTACGAATTAGCTTGCTATGCTAACTCATTTTCAAATGAAAGAAGATGGTCAAAAAGATAGAATATAAATACATCCTAATGATACACTCTTAATAATATATTTCAACTTTTAAATAAATTGTATTCACATGAAACGAAGGTATACATATTAGGGGGTTAATAATTGAATGGATTTAATATCTTGGAATTATATACAATATATAATAACGATATACAAGCATTTTTTATATGTTGTTTCATAATAATTTATTTATCTACAAGAACTCCTCATCTTACACAAAATTGTCAACTAGTGAAAGATGTTAAGTTATATAGTGAACGTCGATTAAATTACTAAATTAAAGTTGCCGTTAAAACACGAAAAATACGTACATAGTCGAGCATTGCACATTCGGTAATAATTATCCCTTTTCATTTTTCAAAGTGATCATTTCAAGTAATACAATGAAATAGCTAAGTATTAGTATCACTATATTCTTTAATTGTTATTCATCGATCGAGCGTTCATTCCAGAGAATTATTGGATCCTCATCCTTGAGTAATAATTTATCGTAATTACCACAGTAGTTACAAATTACTGTACTACTGCAGAAAGATTTTCATCGTTAAAAATGAAATCTATTATCGGCAAAAACATTCATTTATCTATCAAGATAAGGACCATTCGAAACCACCAAGAAACAATCAAATATACGATCGCCGATCTATTTAATAATTACATATTTACATTGTCGATCAACTGTCCCGTTTGCAACGAAAGCAAATACGAGGAAAGGTTTTTAAACAAAAAACTTCACTAACTGGAAATTCAAGAACATTTATCGTTCTTAATCGAATGTTGCTGATAACATACAAAAATATTGAAATACTGCACGCATACGCATGAAATAAAATTTCATGTGTAAAAAAAAAAAAAGAGAAGGGAGTTTTCTTTTTAAAGCAATAATATTCGTAAAGCAACAATTAAAGCCATACCATTTATCAGTTGTAGCGATGAAGATAATAAAATATATCGAGTGGAACCTTTAACTTCGTCTTTGCTTCCAAACGAATCTTATCTGTTGCTCGTAGAAGTGTTCGAGTTAGGCAGGAGCTATTTGGTGATTCAAAACGATATTTAAGTTATGATATCGTACGCGTTAGAGTGGACAGCCGTGTACGTATGTGACGTTTCGAAAAAGTGCAGCCGCCGTCGAAAGGAACGCTGCCGTGGATGCCGTGGATGGAGCTGGTGGTGGTGGTGGCGGAGGTGCATGATTTGTCACTTGTGTTTGTGCATTGTAAGACGGACAATAGGCGTCTATGCTACCATGATGAAGACCGACGCCTCGTACAAGGAGCTCTTTTTCTACCGTGGCTTGATGACGAAGTTGTTCGAGTCGTAACTGATTCTGTCTCTTCCACTTCGTTCTGGAACAAGTAAGTAGTAAAGGTTCAAGTATGAACGTACACTCTTCGTTATATAAATATATTCATAAGGATTGTACTTGTCGCTGACCTTCTATTTTGATACCAAGTCTTCACTTGAGTTTCTGAGAGAGACAATGCATCTGCTACGTCACTACGATCCGCCACGCTTAGATATTTTTGACAACGGAATTTTCTTTCTAGGTAAGCAAGTTGAGCATGTGTAAAAGCCGTTCGTCTTCTTCGTGGCTTTCTTCCACTAGGTGGACCACTAGGAGTTCCGCAAGATTTACCAGACGTTGTCGGACCTGGTGGAGGCGAGAGAACAGGTGGTGGACTTCCTAGTCGAGTGCAAGGACTACTGCCAGGATCGATTGTATCTTCGGAATCCGAATGAACGGCCGAATCATCTTCGGAATCTTCTGTAAATATCAATGTGAAGAAACATTGCCTTGTCATTTTAACCGATAGACAAAGTACAAGTAGAATTTGTACGAACAGTTGTCTTGTTAATTTGACAGATTCGACTCAACGGTGAAAGCCTATTATCGAGACAATGCCGAACGAATCGAAATCGATTTATTATCCTCCCTAGTTCATGGTAAACGATCTCAATCAAGATCCTGTGGTGTCGTACAACGATTGACCAATAAAACTGGGAAACGCTGTGGGACAGAGTAACCGACGGCAAAAATTTGTGGACTAACGAATCCTAACGAGTCACTTCGCACCTAAAACCATCTGTAGGATCACCCTTAACAGGGTGACACCCTGTAGGGTGGATCGTCGTTCCTCGGACCCCGTATAGTGGATAAAAATAATAGAAGAGTCCTTGGGGGGTATCTTTTAACGAGAATCCCGACGGTAGTGCACGCGACCGACTCGTGTTTCGTATATAAAACACTAATAATCTATCAAAATTCATTTCTTTTTTATTGATTGTTAAATCTTTAATATGTCTTCGATCATTCGAGAAATCAATGTAAGTTGATCAAAATTTCCTATCAAACTAATGAAACCTATACTTTATCGATATTGTCACGATTAACAAAGTTATATTTTTATATTTTTTTAGATCACCTACCTTGAACTCTATCCGCCAGAACGTCGCCCAAAAGATCTCTTATCAAAAAGGACTTGTGTTCTTGCATCATCGTCACTGATGAATCGATGCAAACCAGTTTTAAAAACTAAACAAGATCACTCGAGTATAAGAATTGTTTACTTTCCGTATCCGCGTTATCACCGATTATTCTAAGGAGCCGACTTTCATGCTATCGTACGGACGCTCGGCATCGTTCTGCGTCGACCGCGAGCACGGGGATGACCGGATGTATCTGGCCGACGTTCCACTGTCGTCATCGTCCTAGACATTCTTGTCGTCTTCGTCGTCGTAGCCACGTTGTGGGTGAAGGCGAGTCGTTGTAGGAGGCGGAGGCTTACTCGATGAAGTTTGGATACGAGGGTGAGGGGTACTACAGCATTCATCGTCTCTCCAACTATATCTTTCCCAAGCCCTGCCACCCCTTCGAATTAATCCGCCCGTTTATTTTGAACGGGCAGCCTAATGCCCGCGCGATTTCGCAGCCATTTTGGGGGTGGAGGCGCCTTCCGCAAGCCCCGCGCATTCTCTTAAAAACAGTTCGCATGGCTCTTGCCATTGGTCGGTAGTACGGACGAGTGAGGGACGAAAAGTGTCTTCCGAGAGATGCTATTGGGCGGATAAACGCACCCTGCGCGAGAGAAGGTTGGTTCTCTCCCTCCATCATCTTTTATCCCTTCTATACCTATCGTTTCGCTTTCCTTTTGTATGCATTCAGACGAGAACACAAGGTATATAATAGGGCTCGCACGAGTTGGTAAGGTAAGGACTACCAAACGTAGAGCCGCGTCGACTAACGGAGGTGGACTGATAGGGGAGGAAGTAATTGGCAAGCGATTACCGTAGAAGGAGAGGAGCAAATTGGATGTGAAACGTTTCTGTAGCTTTATTATGATGCAGTCTTGTTCTATCTGAATTTCAAACTTATCTCCTGACTTTCTCTCTTTTTACCGTCGCTCAACTCTTTCAAATTTAAAGAGATAGTCACTACGCGAGGAAGAAATCAGTAAGATCGTCGTCAAGCTTCTATCCATTAGTACTTTTTATAAAACGTAATTCAATCTTAATGATTTTTTTTTTTATTATTATTATTTTCCGCGAACAAGACTGAATAAAATTGAAAAAAATTGTTCCTCATAATCGAATTTAATTAGACTAATGATCTTTAATTTTGTTATAGATATTTCATCTATGTCAATTCATAATTTAAGAAGAAGAGATTATCACCAATCATAAAAATGGTATAAAATCATATCATCTTATAAATTTTTTTTATTATACACGTAACCGTATCGATAACTCGAGTTGAATATTTAACGTTTTCTGTTTTAGAATAACTCAAATTGCGATGATATCGTTACGAAGTTGATTTATTTGCATAGACCTCGAGAAAGGATAACGTTAGGAGTGCCAAATGTAGGAGAGATAGATGTGCACCATATTTACATAAATACATCCCTCGCTGTTTGGAATTTCCTACCTTTCGTATCTCCCCTTGCCCTTTGGAGGGGTAGTTTGTGAGCGTAAATATGCATGATGCATGCACTCACAAATCCTCAAACCGCCTACTTTCTCAGCCGCCTCCATGCTTCCACTATTTCTCTCGCGGCCCTGGACTCAACAGTACCCTGTTAGTCTATTCACTGCACTACACTACTTAACTTTTGTAAGCACCTACACATAGTACATATTTACATAGATGTACTCTCGTATATGTATTTTATATTTTACGAAATCGCATTCAGTAGAAACGATAAAATACGAAAATATAACGATAAAATCAACAACGCGGATATACATAGATAGATATATATCAAATTTATTGATTATTTAACGTCGTATTGACTTACTCTACTTGTCTGTTATCATCACATATATACATTTTTATTAAAAATTCACACTTACAAAAGATCTTTCTTTCTGAAATCAAATCTTCCTCAAAAATATTTGTTTCAATTATTCTTTATACGACATTGTTATACCATATCGACACCTGTAAAGTCCTCTTTATGATGTCGAGCAGTGAATGCGATGGATCGGAACGCCTTTCTGAATTCATTAGGATTAACATATGCAGGAGATTAATTCAAGGGGCGGCAAAGCGGCTAGGCGTCTTCTTACCGGGCGCAGAAAAGGGCGCCGAGAACACTGAAAAGAGGGGAATAAATGAATGATAGAAGACGGAATGAGAGTTGAGTAACGTCAAAAATAAAAAAACAAAGGGCATCTCTGTTATCGTTGAAAAGCTATATCGTTTATCGTCAATGTGTTATTTAGAATAATTTACAGATTAATTATTGAATTAATGTGGGATATTATTTTCATTAAAATAAATAATCAATGATAGTGTTTTTCAAAGGAATAATATTTAATTTTTTGTAAATTTTTAATCTACAGAATCAATACCAATATATATCTCTGTTGAATCAGGTCATCTAATGGCACCTAATACAGTATCGCACCCTTAAATTGGATGTTCTGCGAGGGGAAGATACGTGTATGTGAAACTCGTTTTATTATCGCATCTGTCGTGATCCGAACGAAGCTAAATTGATGGTAGTAAGAAAAGAGGGTACGTTGTATTAGAATTGGCTTCGAATCATCATCCCTTTTGTCGAATGATCGTTATCGCGACAATTTTCTTCATCTTTATTCTAATATAATTTGCGGTATTCTCTTTGTAAATGAATAAATTGACATTAATATTGTAAATTGAACAAAATTAAAATTGCAAAATTAATGTTTCATAGAAGATCGCCATCGTGGGGGGAAAAAAATGACTATTAGAATTTTTAGTTTATTTTGACAAAAAATGTGGAACGCTTCACGATTTTGCGTGTCATCCTTGCGCAGGGGCCATGCTAATCTTCTCTGTATCGTTCCAATTTTAGTATATGTACTGCCGAAGCAAGTACAACAGAGCATTTCAAGAAGAGTAATATATAGAAATCTACTCGATAAATAACACTTGCGAGAAAGCTTATATACTTATAATGTGCAGTATCGTTTAGCGCCATCTAGTTGAAGAATTATGTAATACTTGCAAGTTTAGCTAGAAAATTCTCTTAAGTATAGATCATGAGACACATTCTTATTAATAATCTTTGATGAGAAATAATAGTGTTAAGATATTAAGTACATAAATAATATTAAATATTATCATTTTCGAATTAAAAGACATTCTATTCGTTTTATTATTTTATTGGATCAGTTATGACAGATGTTATAGAATAACTTATTTCATAGATATTCATCTATATTAACTTTTTATATTATTGTAATATTTTATAGTTGTAAATTTAAAATCTTTTTTATATGTTACAATGCCTAAAGTAGAAACATTTGTAAAAATCAATGATTCAATAATAACAATGCCGATCGTGGCGATCGTTGCCACGAATTGGTAAATACAGATAAAAAAAACAGTGAAGAAGATCACGGTGGAACGATTTAGAACAGTGATGGGCAGAGAGCAGGGATCAAATTGCGAGGCAAAGAACTTCGAAGCCGTTAACAATCACGGCAAATATGAAATCCATTGACGTGCGACCGTGCGTATGAATATAACTGCGGATACGAATATTTTGTGGATGGTTGTAATGTATAGTGTTGTGTAGTAGTAATGAACATGACCCTCCGAGCTCTAAATATGCATGTGCACGTTCTTCGACTTGCATTTTTCTTTCGTGATTCAAGAGGTTCGTAAAGTTTTTGCTCTTAAACATTGTCTCTAATTTCTCTACGTTACAATATTGTTTTGCGTTTTATAAAAAAAAAAAAAAAAAAAAAAAAAAACATTACATAGTAGAAAAGTTATAATCGTCTTTTAAGAATTCCTTTAATTAAACTTGACAATTTATTTATTGTTTTGATTTTACATTACTCAAACACAATTTGTGTATACTAACGATTTTCTTTTTTACAGATAATTTCATTGATGCAATATTATTTCTACACTGTGACTATTACAGCAGGCTTGATATTAATGTAATTTTTATTTTAACAAACTAACGTGATATTATTCGAGGCATACGATATTCCTTGAAAAATGAGCGAGGAAAAAAGTTACTGGGGTGTCTGTTCAATCCATTTCTACAAATCCACGAATTAACTGAGGAAAAAAAGGCGCATATATGCGCCCCTTACCTTTTCTCTTATATACCGGTATTCATTTGAATTTTTTTCCTTTTCACTGTTTTACCACGTTTATGAACGGCTCTCTTTTATCCTTTGCTTATCCAATGTCTCCGGTTAACAACGCGATGTAACGTCCTTAAGACGTCAAAGGGTAGGGACTTCTTCTTTTTATTATTATCATTATTATTATTATTATTATTACTATTATTATTATTATTATTATTTGTTATTATTATTATTATTATTATTCATGAGTTTTGAAAAAGAAAATAATTACGATCCCGTCAATTTATTGCTAAGAGTACGAATCCACTTGATGAATGCAGTCTACCGAGTTACGATTCACATAGTGTGTTCTTTTCTTATAATAGGTGAGTTGATAACTTGTTGTTCTAATATCATTGTGCTAAGAGAGATTTAGAAATAAAGAAAAAAAAAATAATTAACAAAAATCTTTGATATGATGAAAGTGTCATTGACTTGTTATTGAAAATATGTTATGCTTTTCTGAACGAGTATTTTTTATGTGTAGGAAACTAAATAAAAAATATCTGGGACGTTTCAAACGAATCGACTAAGTATGTTGCCTATTGTGCTTCTTTCTTTACAGGGAAGCGGAGACACTCTCGAAGAATGGTGGTTATGGGAAAAAGAGTGCTTGAACACGGACGTTGGTCAGACTCCCGCGGTTCCAATTACGAGTGAAAGGCGGCCCTGTTCGTTCGTCTCCTATAACTGCGGACTCTTCAGGACTTCGTACGAGGCCCTCTTACCCCCATGACCACTTTCGAGTTTCGACACGCGTGTTTCCATGGCAAATGCTACCATTTCGTTGGATTTGATCATCGCACTTGTACGTTTATCGCTCAACGAAATATTGCGACTTTATGGTAGTCAAATATTTTTCTGGATTTTTCAAAGTTCGTTCAGATACGATTTCGTTAGGATATGTATGTTATAACATTTTCACAATGAAGTAACAATTTCAATATAATTATAATTACCTCGATCAGTTAACCAATGATTCATATTATTTTGCAGAATAAATATAACAGATAAAATGTACGTGTTATCACCGGAATCTCTACGAGGGAAACGATTATCCGATGTAATCATATCCCTGCTTTGGATCTAAGAGTCGGGTAATCAAGGGACGATTGCTATCACAAAGCTGCTTGATTGGCTCGTTTATGTTACGGTAATGCTCGGGACACTATGAGATGGTGTAGAGTCCCTCGATAAGAAAAGGGCTCTTGTATTCTCGTTAACGAGATTCCACGAGAATAGACGCATTCTTGTTACAAAATTAGATGAGAATTTCTCGTTTCCCAATGGATCGAACGAAAAAACATTTTGATGAAATTAATCACGTTAGAGATCTATTAATAGACGTCATTCGTCCAATTATCTAGTTTTATTTATGTAAACGACTAGTGATTGGATTGTTTTATAGGTTTAACGGATTTCGATCTTTGACACGACCCAGAAACTTTTTCACTGACGACGAATAGATCAAAGTTCCTCTCTTTCGGTTTCAAGGTTGATCAAAGATCCCAGTCCAGAAGGATAATCGTCCCAGGAAAGCAAAGACGAGGGATGTGTCGTAGCGCAGTGTCGCCAAAGTCGAGAGGATTACTTGTTTACAAACGACAGTTGATTTGACAAAGCCGCGAGTCCATTTATACGAGTGAATATTACAAGGCGTAGTTGAGGGGTGGCTTGTTATCCGCTCATTGAAGTTAACCACGGGGCTAAGTGCGCGGAGGAGGGAGGGGTGATGCTCGTGGTAAGGAGAATACGAAGAGTAAAGGCTAGGTAAGCTGAAAGGGGAACCCTGCTGCTACCGCTTCTGTTGGAGGGATGAAAAGTTGGAGGGAGGTTAGAGTGATGGAGAGAGTAAGAGGAAGAGAGGGAAAGAGAGAGAGAAAGAGAGAGAGAGAGAGAGAGAGAACAGAGATAGAGGGAGAGAAACGGAGAAGTGAAACGGCCAATGAGAGGCCAGATCGTTGCCGAGGTAACCGCGGGGCTTTCCGACGAATTATTCGACCGAGATTGAAAAGTTAGCGACGTGCGGTTTGAAGGAGAAGAGGGGTGAGGAGAATTTCATGCCTCCATCCGGTCTATATGCCGTTGGTAGATGGAGGCAGGAAGGAATGATGATCCCCTCAAGCGTCGCTTTCCCCCGAATCAACTAAACACGATGAATTAAGATTCACCTTCTTGTCGATAGACACTCGAATAGATTCGTTGATAGGATATCATAATCGAATTTGCTTTCTAATAGATGATATCATTCGTTATCATTACAAACATCGAATGATCTTCTTTACATAACGAAAAATGAATGAATTTATTTCTTTGAGAGATATTTATGTTCGTAATGTAAAATTATAATATCATTTCTACATATCTTTTAAGAATATAGAATCAACGTATGCACAAATAAATAATATCCGTATGGGAGATATAGTCTCATTCGTTTTTACAGCGGTCTGAAAAAATTGACGCGATGTCGGTGACGGGTCAAGCGTGTGAGAGAGGACGCACCTGAAAATGTTTATTTCTGCATCCGCGTACACATGACGCCCGTCTACGCTGCTTACCGACTGGCAGGTACTCCGGAATTATCTGACACGTGCATAATTAATGCCTCTGACGAGGGTGCGACTCTCGCGTTGCACAGACACGCGCACATCCTATTTGTATTATCTGTGTCAGAGAGAAATGAAAAACGAGGGTTGATATTGAGGAGGAGGAGAAAGACGGCGAAAGGTGGAAATCGCAACTACAGAGAGAGGAGGAGGAAACCGAGAGAGAGAGAGAGAGAGAGAGAGAGAGAGAGAGAAAAAGAGTGAGGAGGGACGGAGACGGGCTATTGCGAGGATACGGAAAACTACGACGAAGGAGAGGAAGGAGGAACGATTCTTTCGAATGGACGATATGAGTGGAGAGAGTTGAAAGCCAAAGTTGTTGGATAACCGACGCGGAAACGCGGGATAATGACTACTTTTTCATATTTTAATTACGCAGTAATTAATTGAAATGTTTCCCTGTTCGCGAGAGCACTCGAGCAAAATGAGACGCGGGTGCTGCCTCGGCTGAGACAGCTTCGGCTATATTTTCTTCTTCTCCTCTCTCTCTTTCTCTCTCTCTCTCTTTTTTTTCCTTCACCGAGAAAACATTCGACCTCAGCGATAGACGGCCGCGATTTTTTCATTTCTCTTCATTCTTACGGCCCTTTTCGCAGAATTAAGTACGAGCTTCTTTGGGAAGCTACGTTTTCCCTTTTAAGCAATTCCATTGAGCCTGATTCTCTACTTGGCATCGATTTTAACGCAAAACTATCTATCTACCAATATTAGTTTGAAGATTTGGAATTTTCCTGCGTCGTATTAATTATTCCTTCATCTTTCGTAGAACACAAACCATCCATTGAAAGGGATAAATATGATTCGTTTTATAATTTTCCAACATATAACATACACATACACACACACACACACATGAATGTTGAAACTCGTCGAATCAAGCGCTGATATTGACTACTGCAGGTTATTCTACTACTAATACTACTATTGCTACTACTACTCTTCCATCCACGAGCACTATTCTTTTGCATCCGGTTTGCTTGTTGTTTCATTTTCGCGACCCCTAGTTTACTCTACAGTGTCGGCATAACAATGAAAGCGAAAAAATCGAGAAGGAAATAAAGTGAGAGAAACGAGGTGGAAGGGAAAGAATGAGATAGGTAAGAGGAAGGGAAGGGAAAGACGAGTCGCCCTTTTGTTAGAGAAGTTGTATGCTACGTGCAATTGTCTTCTCATTGTTTCAGCCATTGTTTCCGGTAACTCTTTCGCGGTAACGAGGAGGAACCTCAATTAGAACGGTTTGAGGACTTAAACGCCCAGAGGCTGCCGGGTTTTAAGAGGCAAGGATGCAGTAACGTCGACGTGGAAGCATTGTTTCTCCGAGCAATAATGCAAACGATACCCTAAGCGCGTGAAAGATGTTGATTCTCTCTTAACACTTGCTATTGCAAACTAAGACGTAAAATGAAACATGTATGTATATTTAAATATATATATATATATATATATATTTATACGAATTTTTTGCATTGTTCTAACGCATTTGAAGTAATAAATTAATTATTGAAAAAATATTGAAGAAAAAAGAATGAAAAAATCTTTTCTCTTTAGATTTTATCCAATAGGATTTGTACAAACTTTATGCCTGGATACATCAATTCTTACTGTATTCATTTACAAGCTCGATAAATAATGAAAACAGGATCTCCTCCATCTGATGCTTGATACCCTGATTGAAAAAAAAGTCTGTACTTTGAAGTTCAATATGATAAATCATGTTATCACTTAGTTGTTAATTAAATTATTCTAAATTTATATCTTTTGTCAAACGATGAACATAATTTATGAGACTGATAAAAATGAGAGATAAAAATATTTCTTTTATTGTTATTACAAAGAAGAATACATAATCGTAAACAAAAAAATTATTAAATAATTAATACTCTTAGATTATAAATATACATTCGTAATTAAATATTTTAAATGTACATATATCGTATATATAGTATATAGAAATCAAATGTTTATTTGTTGTAGAAAATATTGAGATATATACTTGGAAGCTTGGTTGTACAGGAAAATGAAATGGAGTATTGAACGACAAGGGAAAAAAGAAAAATAACTGGCTTTGTATATATGTTTGTTGCAGTATACGCACGACCACCAATCGAACCTTTCGTTAGCCAAACGAATATCGGGAATTTTTTTCGGGAGGATATATGCTCCACTTTATGATCGCCTGTGATTCGTGACTAGAATTAAGATGTACAGAAGACGAAACCATGTCGATAGTGTTCAATACAATAAAATCAAATCATTCGATGGTTTCTTTAAGTGATCAGTATTTTAAATAACTTAGAATATTTCGAGATATATGGGATAAAAAAGTCTGACGATCTACATAACAGAGGATTAATCGCACTTGATTTATCTTTATTTTTTTTTTCCTTATATCTTTTCGTGAAACTTGTTAACAATTCTTTATTTTTAACGTTCAATCTTCCAAGTAGAATATCTTAATCTTTATTTTAAGGAGAAATTCAGGAAACACCTCGATCGTTCTAAAAGTGACAGGATTGAATACATTTCAGGTGTGTGCCAGTAGTAACCATAAATCATCTGGAAATCCTGTTACCCTGTCGTCGCGAAAACGCCAGGGGTGTTTTCAGAGTACGAAGGATACAAAACCGAGGAGAGTTCCTCCAGGTTACATTTCTGAGTTATAGCTCCCTGGTGTTGCAAATGCTTCTGGCGCCACTCTCTTGACGAATGACAGGACATTGACGAGCACGAAGGGAAGGATACGAAGAAAATCAAGATAATCGCGTGGAAAGATGTTATATGTCACAGGGGCGAGTTTTTCCCTACATGAGGTCCTGATCTATAGAATATTTTCCATACGACGAGAGTATTTTTAGTTCTCTATTACGTTAAAAAATATCTCTCCTTATGGTATCCTGGTACACCGAATATTTCTGGGATATAAATTTGTTCTAGAGCGTAGAATAAAGTGTAAGGTTATAGGAAATTGAATGTATAGAAAACACATCAATGGGTTTTCTCTTTTTTGCTTTCTTTTTTTTTTTTTTTTTTTATTGCATGAATATTCAATAAATGAATCGGTAATCTATTTATCCTGATCATCTATAAGAAATATTTGTCGCTGATTTATACAAGCTTAATGGCTGGGCGATATACATTAAATAATGTTCTATTTTTTCTATTTATATGATAATTATAAAAAATGTTTTTTCTCTGAAAATGTATACTCGTGACATTTGTTAGGGATAGGCGCGCAGCGTTAGCAGGATGCGTATTTAAGATCAAGGATACATTTTCACTATCGATCCATTCGCCTTATTATATCCTGATATCTACGTTTGCTATGGCTTTTGAAGTCCTTTGATAACTTTAGAAATCTTATATAACTTAGTATATCGTACTATCAAAAAGCTTATAACGAGTCTTTTAATTAATATATTTTATTCGATAATTGTGAATCTTGTAATCCAATTTGTTTGCTCTCATTAGCTTCATGATATCATTAAAATATTTTTAGATTTATATCGAACGTTATTTCTAAGTATCAGTAAGCTCTGAATCTAATTTATAGAGATATGCATTAGAAGTGATAGTACTATAGTAAGATGATAGAGAAACTGTAGCCTTCTGAATAGTGCTAGTATCCTGACATCTTGGATAGATTCTCTACGTGTTAGTTTCGAGTTTGATTCATGTCACCTATGTACACCATATGTTGTTGCTTTCAAGGTGTGTTCGAATAGGTTGAGTTTTCGTTAGGATGAGTATTATCCATGTAAGGATATTCTTCGTTTTGATGTTTTCCTAATTACTTGAACACATTATTCCATTCGGTAAAATGGCAAGTTTTATAACGGTGATCCTAATGTTCAGAGGGCGCATTTGTTAGGATTACATCCCTTCGAGCAGGTTTTGCAGCAGAATAACCAGCAGGGCTCTATGAGTTCTTGATATAGAAATATGCCTCGCGTTTGAGGCAATTAAATACGAGAAAGCTTACCAGCTTTATGTAGACTTTATTTAATTATCTCATTTAATTCAAATGCACATTATTTACCCAGTGTAACAGTTTTATTCTTATACTTTGAAAATTCATGAACATTGTATTCTGATATCAATGCAAAAATAATAATAGTTAGATTTTTATTTGTACATATGAATTTGTAAATAGAGTTGTTTTCTAGATGTTTCAAAATTATACTTTATAAAATAATTTTAATAAGTCAGTTGAAAAATAATGTTAAGTATGAATAATAATG